AATCATTGAAAATTTTAGTTTAAAAATAGTAAAATCAACCTTGCTAATCAAAACGCTCCTCTGTGACGAAATCGGTAAAAGTACGTCAGGCTATATGACGGTTCCGTATAGGATGCAGGTTCGATTCCTGTCGGAGGACGCATATTTTCTATGACAATTTCTCGCACATTCAGGCCGGTAAATGTTGCTAATACTGTTTATTATAAACAGAACATTTACTTAAATATTTTTATGTATAAACATAAAAATGTTTTTTTTTATATATATATATATATATATATATATATATATATATATATATATATATATATATATATATATATATATATATATATATATATATATATATATATATATATATATATATATAACAATGAATCATTCGAACAAAAAGTAGATTAATAAAGTTAATGATATAAAATGGCGAAATCCTTCGCTGACAAAATTCGATGAATGTTATGATCCTTGTTTTTATAAATTATAAGCAGTATAAGATCTTCCTTTAATACGCAAGTACTTTCGATTGTACATTCAGTCATCTTCAGGCATGGAAATTGTGTTGTTTTTGGTAACATTCAGGTAGCATCTAAGACGAAAAAATATCATGCGAATCGAAATATTTTTTTTGTGTTATTTTTCTATGAATGATTTATTGTAATATAAATCGAACTACACCACATATTTGATAAATTTATTCTCTAACTGCACACTTTTGCATACACAATCATTTATATTGTTTGACTGCAGTATAGACAGCTTACCAAAACTTAAATTATTTGGATTTTTATATGTGCACAAAAAAATTATTTACACTGACAACCATGTAAAGCAAAAATATAGAGGGTAAATATAAGGGTCCGCATTTAATTTTTAATTTATATTTTTATTCCAGCTTTATAGAAATCTTTGAATTTGTTGTAATTCATTTAATAAATGCTTTTCTTAATGAATATATATTTTAATTAAGTTTTGTTGATTATCTGGCAAAAAGTGACAATTATTTTACATATTATCTGGCGGGTTCAATTAGTTTTGCACAGCACTATAGATATGTCGCCTATATTTAATTAAAGATTTTTGAAAGAAAGGTTTCTGCCCAACTATATATATATATATATATATATATATATATATATATATATATATATATATATTGGGAGAGAGAGAGGGTTGGAGAATGTATGTGCCTGAGCACAAAATGCCAACAGTCAACACAATTAACACAACATGCACAAGACATTCAACAATTACTTTAAAGTAAAAATCCTATATCAAAATAACTTTCAAAAACGATTGAAAATGCTAAAAGCATTCATCATGAAAAACAAAAATCACAACATCAGTAAAATCTTCCTAAATTTAGCTGCATAATAAATTTATTTTACAACTAAAAAAATAACAAACAAAATAACACTACCTGACACAGGAAGTATTGTCATGACGCATAAAGAATTGTCATGACGTGTGAAGACACGATATTTCAAAAGGGTGAAACTGCCGTAGCACACAACAGAACTTTTTTTTTTGATAATACCCAATGAAAGCCTAAAGTATTCAGCCTCAGATATTGGACAATTTGTATTTTAGTTTAAATTTCTAGGTCACTTCGACCCTGTCATACTGGACAAATATAGTAAACTGTCAATCCAGGGCCTGAACACACCGTCCAACACCGATAGACGGTAGAATTGACCTCGAGCTCAGAAAGAATAATTGAGCTGGCATGATACGGCCCTCGTTGATTGTGATTCCCCAGGACCATCACAGATATTATCATCTTGATGTCTATCACTGGGTGTACTGCCGTGGGATCTGCACAGACCCACCTGCCATTCCTCCTATTCACCTGGATGGTTTCAAGAACCTCGCTGTGTTCGAATCCCTATGGCTGGATGCAAGAGTCATGGGCACAGTGCGTTTTTAATTTTCAGTTTCAGATTGGAAACTGCCATATTGGTGCCCTCAGATTGTCTAAAAGATAAATTAGAATGTGTAAATTTGGGGTATACTGAGCAAAATAACGTTGTATCACCCACCATTATTGCTGTAAATTATTGTCGTAAACGGCGCCACCTAGCGGCCTCTTGGTAGTGATGCTGGTTTATATATCATCATGTAAGACTTACAATTCATCAGTGGATTCGTTGATATTAAAAAGGAAAAAAAAACTGCGCAGGAAGAATTTAATAGTTGGGAAATTTTTGTACTCAAATAATCCGACTCTCTTCATACCGTTTGCACGTGGAATTGTTACAATCGGAGTCTTCCAGGCCGCAATGGAGAACTAGGGCTTCTACCTGTCACCTCCATATGCTGGTGTACACCACAGAACTTTCTGGCACCGTCTTCATGGACGTTGTATCTGTAGGAGACATGATCCTCTTACTCTATCAGGAATCAGTCTTCACATGAAATGGGACTGATAGACCAGAAATCAACAACGACCCGGTGACTGACCGGTTTTGACCGCCGAGTTCAAATATACGAAGCGAAATGCGTTCCTCCTTATACCAGTCTGATAAAGGTATAACCGTGTTCCCAAGGGTGAACAATTGAAGGCAAGCATTATGACATCATTCACCAACTTAAACAAGAAGAGCTGCAGGAGATTCCGAAGTCGTCTGTTGGCCGTGGTTAAAGCCAATGGCGATTTTATTAAATAAATTTACTCTTTACACTTTCTGATATGAGGTATTATGCACACTATTTACATTATTTGGAATATTGTCGCCCCGGCCTTCTTCAGGTGGTTGGAATGTCGAACTGAACCCTTTATTTCGCTCACTGGAGTAGACTATTCTAGTTCCACGTGCCATGTCTAATGGATGTCAGTTATCAGTTATCTCCTGTTAATTCCCCTCTCTAAGTTCTCCACCGCTTTAACCAGGTATTGAACTCACAACTCTTTGGGTCCTGTCACTGGATCTAACTAACGCCTTTACCCACTGGGCCATGTGTCCTCGAGGGTATCTGTGTATGAATTTCAGTCTACCCCAGCGAGACAAATAAAGGGTTCAGTTCGACATTCCCACCACCTGAAGAAGGCCGGAGCGTACAACGGCCGAAACGTCGTGATAAATAAGGCGACAAAGATGAGAACAATTATCCGAAAAATGTAAATAATGTACATGATACCTCATCTCAGAAATATAGACATTTACTGTTTAGTATTCCAAGGTATTTTTGCTAAATATATCTGTCAAAATGATGTCAGTGTTATTTTCATTTTTGCCTAATTTAGACGACAATTTATCCATAGCAACCTGTAGACTGCATTTTCATGCTTTCAAAATCTACCAACTACGCAGTTAATGTATATATCGACAACAAACCATATACATGCAACTACATGAATATTTCAAATTTACGAGTTTTTCTTCTTCATTTTGTTTCGATCTTATTTTTAATTTACAGCTAACCCATGAAGTCCCCAGGGCGAAGCAGCAAATACAGGATAGGTTGCAAACTAAGATAAAACAGACCACCGCAGCCTATACTTTGCTGTTTGTTCAATGCTGGCTGCTATCCAAAGTCAGAGATAAAAAGTCAACCCAGGGTGATATATGAAGATTGGTGGGTGGGGCAGCGTTCGGCGTCTTTTCTTCGGCCGACTCAAGAGAATTATTTTTGAATACTGAGACAGTGAAAAGGTTTGTGTTCTTGTTGGTGGAGGGTAATGCTCGGTCGGTGTCGAAAGAGACAAGCGAAACCCCAGCCTGTAACAGGCGGATAGGAAAATGCCTTTCCTTCCGAGCCATACATTTACGACTATCAGCATGGCGTCTCTGAGGAAAAGTTAACACTCGCCTATTGTCTAGCTGCAGAAGAAGTGCAATTCTATATTATAAAAGACGAGTTAAGTCTTTGTCGTTCACACAGGCTGGGGAGGGTGACTTTGAATATACGTGTGTGATTCATATATAGCTAACATTTAAACATTTCCGCTTTAAAAAAAAAACAAAAAAAACATAGGAAACCATTTTTCTTTCTGAAAGTTTTCTAGAGTAGCATTCATTAGATCAGGAGCCGGAAGTGTGAGAACCAGAAACCTATGCAGTGTCTTGCAGGAAGGCCATGATAGCGAATTTACTATAATAATTTGCCTCAACCCCTGACCACTACGTCCAAAAGACTCCCTTGGTCTGGGGGTTTAAAGGAAAAAAAAACAATGAATTTAATGTTCTATTATTTAAACAAGTTTCCTTATTTTACCGCAGATATAACAGGATAACAATTAACATAATCAACAAAAAATGCAAATTCCTTACTACAAATGAAATACCGTTAAAAATGACAAATTATTTAATGAGATATTTGTTTCTGCTTATAGTTCGATAACTTCTCCACATCAGGTTAAATATTTGTCGTCCAACAGGAGCAAAACATCGGCCAGGTGGTCATCACTCAATTTTGTTCGATTTATTGTATAGCTCCGGCAATTATGTTTTACCTTCACTAAAGTCAGATTAGACCTAAAATTTGTTGATGACAGGAGCAAAACATCGACCAGGTGGTCATCACCTAACCTTGTTCGGAAAATGATTTTAGTATCTCTCATTTTCGAAAAATTGTTCATAAGCATACGTACTTCCAATTAATGATACCATTCAATAAGTTTTTTATATTTTCTGCTTAGCAAAAGATATTACTTGTACAAGTCAGCAGTGGATTTGCAATTACATTTTGATTTTTAAAAATTCGTTGCATTGTAAGTTGATTAATTCCAGCTGATATGTTTCTGCCACTTGCTCCACAAATTAATTAAATAATTTGTGTCCAGTTAAATTTGGCGGCCCGGACAAAAATTCTTCGCGTGCCGGAAGTTGCTGACCCCAACATTAGATCTTCCTGAAGCCAAGACATTTGTCAAAATATTGATATTGTTTAACGTTTTAAACGAGGGAGTGTTGCCCATAAATACAGCAACAAATTAATCCTTAACTACTTAGAGAGTTGTCTTGTAGCATAATCTTATTTGCAAAATTTATAGATTAAAAAAGCCACTTTGAAACCTCAGTTCCCATACGATCATCGAAGTTAAGCAACGTTGAGACGGGTCAGTGCTTAAATGGGTGATCGCTTAGGAATACAAGATGCTGTAAGGTTTTGCAGGTGGTGTAATGAATAATGGCTCTGAATTGTTAATCCGAGAACCGGGTTTCAATTCCCGTTGGGTTCGTTATATTTACTTACGCACAAATATTCTAGGGAAAGGCATGAACCCACCTTTTCTCCCCCTTCCGGTTATGTGTTAATTAGTAGGACTTGTATCACATTTTTTTTAATAATTTCACCCAAGTTAAGGTGATAAAGCCACTAAGACACAAGAAGTTATTGAGATTAAATAAAACTGAGAAAACGTTACCGTTGAGAAAGCACAATAAAAAGAAAAGGACACAGTGAGACAGATGACGATTGACGTTACATTTAAATTGTTGTAGATCGTAGTTGACTGGAAAGCAAGAAAATACAGTAAAATGGTGAGACCTAACGGCCATTTTAGTCTCCTATGTGCCATGCCTCTTCAAAACGAGGTCTATCATCCCTTTCCACTACTTCCTATCCTATATAGCTCTTAGTATATTGCCATCGCTCCTAATTCCTGTTCTGCTAACCATTTGCAGCAACTTTTTAGGTAGGTCATTCGTTGCTTTCCTGTTTTCACTTGATTTAAATATGCCCTGTGAGTTTCAGATTCTCCACACCTATTTCCTCATTATCCATCGATTTATAAAAAAAGGAAATCATTGAACCCGAAATGCCAGTTCAGGACCAATAACATTGCTGATAGCTTCTGTCAATAATCTAAGAAGTATCAGTTGGAACTTCGACGTTAGCAAGGTTGTCTCGCAAGATCAATTACGACTGAATAGCGAATTCGATCCGCACTGAGTGCCACATACTTCCAGCTTTGTGTCACATTAATACTAAGGTTAGAAAACCACCTGGGTACTTCGACACGGTGTAATGGTTAACTAGTTTGTTTCCCCAGATCAGTTACGACTTAATAGTGAGTTCGATCCTCACTGAATGCCCCATACATTTGGCCTCATGCCACACCTAAGCTACGCTTATAAAACCACCATAGCAAAAGCACCAGACCAGATGTGACGACTATATTCGATGTACAGACGATTGGTTGGCTTAAAATGTGTAAAAAAAAAGATTCCTGTAAAAACAATTGTTTTTTACGGAGTTGTTTTGAGTTCTTCTAGACTAAATGTCAGCCAAATCTAGAAATCCCATTCAATCCTGCAGTTTGGTATGCTGAACGTTTCCAGATCATTTACAGAGTAATTAATTGTTAAGGGAATCTATTTTTATGAATGAAACTTCTCCGAGTAATGGGTCATTTAGTTAAAGACTTCAAAGAACTCTTTGATGTGGCCGGGTGACCTTACAAAGTAACGATTTTCATGTAGGTATTCGTATTCGTTGGTTTGCGCCAAAATTAAGCGAGTTGGCTGGCGAAGTCAGTTGTTGTAGAAATCTGCTTCAGAGCATTCCGTTTACTACCATTCGCTATCCTGACATGTAAACGATACTAGAAAAAGCCAGCAACTCCCGATTGAAGTTATTTTGAAGTATTTCTAATTTCTTGCCTGTGAGACATTATGTTTGGTTTTTGGTTTTTTTCTTTCATTTTAGCTGTTGAGCAAAATCACTGAAATTAACATTAAACCCTTTTTGTTTACTATAAAAGTTGGATTTCTGTCCTTTCATTAACTTCTCTTTAACCTTATTTCTTTTGTCGTACTAATAAACTACAAAATACCAGAAAATGCGAAAAAACTATTGGAGAAGTCAATCATGAAGAATCATTTTCTGAAGAATTCATCGACTCTTGTGCAGAATTACAGAGTCTACCATGAAATTAAAATCCGGAATCGTTATCATTCCATACTAAAGCAGGATCGTCAATTATTACTTACGTTAAACGCGAGCGGTGATAAAGAGGAATTTATCTGTGTAAAATATTATGCGTTCTTTTTATATAGCTTATATATATATATATATATATATATATATATATATATAGAGAGAGAGAGAGAGAGAGAGAGAGAGAGAGAGAGAGACCCGTGTAAGTCTAAATTATGCATGCGTGCCTCTCGCCTTATATCAGCACAATGAAATATGGCCGCCTTTTTTTAAAATCCTTTTACAAGATATATATTATTAACAAATGGCGTTTACAGTATAAGCGGTAAAATTTAATTTATACACCCATTTTAAAAGCAATAAATCTTTTATCTGCATTTATGTTTAATTCGTTACACGCTGCGAATACCTAATAAATAATGGACTATTCCGTTTTGATCGGTTGGAAAGACGAAAAGTCATATCAGAGATGCGACTTCGTTTCAGTGAGAAAATGAAAGAAAGAAAGAAAACCAGCCTAATATCTCGTAAATAATGGATAATTCCGTCTTGATCGCGTGGAAAGGCGGAAAAGTTATATCAGGGACGCTACTTGGTTTCAGTGTGAAAATAAAAGAAAGAAAAAATAAAGAAAGTTACGCCATACCAATATCTCATAAATTATGGAGTATTCGAACATGATGGCGAATAAAGACGAAAAAGACATATCAGAGATACAGCGTGGTTCCAGTTAGAAAATGAAAGAAAGAAAGTTGTGCTGTGCCAATACTGCATAAAAAAATGGAATATTCCGTTTTAACCGTGTGGAAAGACGACAAAATACATATCAGAGACGCTACTTGGTTTCAGTGAGAAAATGAAAGAAAGAAAGAAAGAAAGATAGAAGAGGGATAACACTTTCATGTGTTTAACTGCTGTTTTAGTGAAATGAAAAAGTTGTCAATTTCAAATCTTTCCATTTGTACCCTCTTATTTCTTAAATAATGACTTGTGATTGTTATTTATTTTTGTTAAAGTTGTTAAACTCAAATATTAAACGATGCAATAATGGAATTTCTACAGATATTTTACTGTAGAACTGGCCATGAGTGTATTCACTCATTAACTGAAGAATTAAGCTTCATCAGAAATATCAAATAAGAACATCCGTGAAATTATCAACGTTCATTCTAATTATCATTATTATTATTATTATTATTATTATTAATGCAAGCTATTATTTTGGAATTATCATGAATTAAAACATTACCGGATTATTTAAATATACTGAATTTTAATTTCATTTTAATTGGATTTAATTGAAAAAGATGTAAATAAAATAAATATCCTTTTCATATTTAATTAAAAAAATGATTTCAGCAGGTGAAAGTAGTCTGTTATCGAATTAATTTCTATTATTAATAAATTTTTTAAAAAAAGCATTACAATAATTCTATGGACAACTTTTCTGTCTTTGGGACTGGTATTCGGTTAATGGATTGAGAAATTAATAAATTATTCTTGTTATCTCTAAAGAATTATAAATGCGAACTCTGCTTCAATACTTCAACAGCTAATTGGAGAATCTTAATCGATCTGAAGATCACTCTCATGTTTGTTGGCGCCTCGCGATTTTAAAAGAAAACCGTCGTGAGAATACATAAATGATTGCAATATTCTATTATCTTTAAAGGCTTGTAAAAACGCTGGTCCTGATATCATATTGTCTCTGAAGAAAAAAAAATGATTATTTGGATCTGAGATCCAATTAGTGAAGCTGCAATTTTCTAATTGGAGTGGTAGCGTTAATAAAAAAAAAATTACAGTAGTTTCTAATGATTCTTCTAATCTTCTTCTTTTTCTGAGGTGGGGGCAAAATTTTCAAGTGTGTGTGTGTGTTTTTTTAACCAGAGATGGAATGCACAAGAGAAGAACCTATTTTTTAAAATATTAACAGAAATCGCTAGAAATCTTTGCACATACCAACGTATACATATATAGATAAAGATATAAGTGCCTCTATCTCTTTCTTTCTTTCTTTCTTTTCTCCTTCTTCTTCTTCTTCTTCTTCTCTTTCTTCTTCTTCTTCTTCTCTTTCTTCTTCTTCTTCTTCTTCTTCTATCCTCCGCCCCTATAAAAGAAAAGGAAGTTGTAAAGAGACATGGCCGCTGATATTCTGCAGTGACACGGCCCATAAAAGATGAAGAAAGTTTTGTCTTTTCCTATATCTCCTACACCGTTCTTCTAACGAGCTTACGGTCATATCACGTTGTAACACCGGTTCCCGTACGATATCCAAAGTTAAGCAACGTCGAGACTAGTCAGTATCTCACCGAGTGACCGCTTGGGAATATCAGGTTCTGTAAGCTTGGATGTGCGGCTGTTGTAATAAATAACTGCTCGGAATTTGAAATCGGAGAGCCGAGTTCCAATTCCTGTTGGGTTCGTTATATTCACTTACGCGCAAATACCCTTGGGAAAGGTATGAATCCACCTCTGCTCTCCCATCTATGGGTTTATTAGGTAAGACTTGTATCATTAAAACTATTTTTATTGCCTCAAAAAAGGTCTTACAACCTAAAAAATAACCTGCAAATGGTTGATAAGCAGTAAAAAAAAAATCAATCAATGTTCTGCTAAACATTTACCCAAGCTCGTTAGGTAGGTGAGGCACTGTTTTCCTCTGTCCAAGTTTCAATAATTATGTTCTGTAGATATCAAACTTTCTAAGTCCTCTTTATGGTCCATATTCATTATGTCCCCGACAAGTTCTAACTGTCTCTTTCTGGTGTCATGCGTACTTTTCGTTCCCATTTTCCTGGATGCTAGACCTTGTGGTAAATATACAACCCTATTTTAAAACTATTGCTTTATTCGTCATCTTAATATTAGCCGTTTCCCTATAAAGACAACGTCCTGGGTAAAACGATAAACTAGATCCGCGTCCAGGGTAAGACGATAAACTACGTCCAACAGCAAGGCCTCTGATCAGGAGGCTTTCAAAAGCTTGGAACCACCTCTTAATTGCTGGTGTTCCCAGGTCCACCCTGACCCGGGGTAGTAGCAACTATTAGAGCCCCAGCTATGGGCAAATAGCTAACCCCGAAACTGAGGTAAAAAGCATTATGAAAGTGTAAAAATAGGTTTTAATATCAGAAATACTTTGTAAAAAGATTATTACCAGAAATGCATTTTTGAAGAAAAAAACTATTTCCAGCAATATACTTTTGAAAAAATATTACCAGCAATATATTTTTGAAAACAAATATTACCAGCAATACGTTTTTGAAAAAAAAAAATTACCAGCAATGCATTTTTTTAAATAATATTACCAGCTATACATTTTTTGAGGAAAAAAATATTACCAGAAATAGATTTTTGACAAAACAAAAATATTACCAGGAAAAAAAAGAAAGTTGTCGGTATTAAATGACCCATTGAGGTGTTGATATGCCTTAAAACAAAACAAACAAAAACCTATAAAGACATATGATGAGTTAGAAGCCATTGTTAAAGTGTAAGATAAACAACACGATCAGAATTTATAAAGTTTGCAATGAAAAGAAAAAAGGTCCAAATAATGAAAGAGCAACAATCATGGAAGCAAGCAAAAAATATAGTCAAAGAAAATCAAAATTGATCAGAAGAATTTACAAACTAGGAGTTGGTGTTTGTACACAAAACCAACGTCGACCACAGTACGTATGTCTAGTAGTTAATGCAGATCTGGACTGAGCTTATTTACCTCACCTTCCCACAAGGCAAGATGTGGCACAAGGTCGTTTTTTACGTGGGGCGATTCCTAGCCCGTATGCTTGGGCAAAAATTCCCCGAAGACCCTGCATACATGGGGTCGGGCTTGTTTACATCACCAGATGCGACTCTGCTCTTCGGTATAGCTGGTCTGGGCTCCGAATGCAGAGAGTTCGACAAGTCAACACGAACCGTCTGAAACGTCAGATCTGGATTGAGAATGCAATCCGTCTCATTTTATTCGCCAAGAAAAATATCCCAGCATGCATTCTGTCTCCTTCTGACTATAAGAGGAGGAGGGGGAAAACTTTTGCAATCATCCCACACACACACACTTTTATAAATTTTTACATCATGAGGTGTTTTGTAGGTCCCTTGTGAATAGATGGTTTTATGGTGCATGTAGGATTGCGAGCTGATAGACAAATTCTTGTGGTGATTGATTATATTGTATAGAATGAATGAGTCGTGATCTTAATTAACTAAAACTGCGAGAGTTACTGAGTAGAAACCCTTCCCCGTTCCCCCTTCGGCCTTGTGCCACAAATTTTGTAAAATTACAAAAATAAATATTCATTCCCCCTACACACACACACTTTGGTAAATCAGCAACACATTTGGCTTTCACTGACCGAACAGCCATTTCTACTTTTGGTTGAAATTTATAAAAACAATCTATGTTAGTTGTTGCTGTTTTTGAAAGTCCTCAAACGATGGGGTTTTTATTAACTAGTAGAGTTCTTTGTTGGTGATTCTGTAGCACTATTCTTCGATGCTTGAAAAAAGATGTTCCTCTTCAAGAACTACAAGTACCATTCGTTGGAAGTTATTTTTAATCATTGATCTAAGCCAACAGTTGTATTGACCTGATAGTTAAGATATTTCTAAGCGAGTTTGGCGCCATGAATGGAATTCTCATGAAAGTTTCAATCGGACAAAGCTATAACTCGAATTATGTATAGCTTCAACTACCTTCATTGTCAATGACTTTATCTTTCGTCATGTTGGCGAATAATACCTATATTTGCGGCCTAACGGTTCATTTACCCAATCAGGTTGCTTGCCATAAACATCTACAGTGAGTGACCTTTCATGTTCCAGCAGCTAGACATGAACAATAGCTTACATATTCCTCCACACACAAAGAAAAATACTTCTATGAATAGGGTTCTGGTTTTGGTGTTAGCATTTTTATTTTGTGATGACTACTATCTTTTTATTTTATGTTAACATGCAAAACCCATTTTTCATCACCTGTAATAATTCATTAATTTTCGTTAGTTTTATTATAAAACTATTAGCTTTGTTCCTATTTTATGATTTTAGCGGTAAACAAAAAATAACAACGCGACATACTTTTTATTAGGTTGTTGTTTAAAAATAATATCCGAATATAGAATCAACAGTTATTCCTGAATTAATGTATTTAAACAGTTTTGAATAAATAAATACAAACTCATGACATATATACATTTCTACCATTGAGTTACAAGGTTATTTATGTCTTTGCGATAAAACTCTACTGGTTTGGATGCCAAGAATACATTTTTTGTATCTTCTTTTCAACGAAATGTCTTATGGCTTAAACACTTGTTAAGATGGACAAAAAATTCCCGAAGACCCCGCATACACGGGATCGGGCTTGTCTACCTCCCCAGACGCGACTCTGCCCTTCAGCAGAGCCTCGTCTGGGTTCCTCTCTTCCCGAAGACAGAGAGTTCGACAAGTTAACCCGAACCGCCTGAAAAGTCGGATCTGGACTGAGTCATGTCAAAATGCAAGCCGTCCCATTTTAGTGGTTAAGAAAAATATCCCAGCATGCATTTTTGCCAAAGCCACATCCACCATATTCTTTTGACCTCGTATTTCAAGTCGGTAAGTTTCTACAGTGTCATCCCGGCAACACGAGACAAGGGCATTATCCAAAATGACACCTCGTTGATTAACCAGTAACAGTCGCAGTTTCCTTAACCAAATCGACACTTCATCCAGTTTCTGGCAGTAAATTTTCACAGTGATGCTCTGGTTACGCTCAAGAAATCTTTAATGGATAACAACAAACGCGGAACAACAGACACATTTCTGTTGTTTCAATTTCGGTTTAGGAAAGTTTTTGATGGATCCATCATTATCAGACCGTTAAGCAGATCTGTTTATGATTATAATAAAGGATCTCCATTTCTTATCGATACACGATCAATAAATGGGTGATTCGAATTTTTGCAAATGCAACATCAAACCCAAATTAAAGCGTCAAACGCGGTGGCTTTCATTGAGTTCCTATGGAACACATTTAACGAGTTTCTTCACCTTGCCAAATTTCTTGACGTGATCCGTCATTAAAATACTGACATCCATTATCTGGTCAATTGCAGATGGACGTCCGAGATCTTCAAGACTTGTATCGCCATTACGGAACTTCAAAAACCATCACCTTATTGTCTGATCACAATTGAGTTCTTTGCCCCAATGCTCTCTTAATGTTGGCATCAGTTTGAAAAGCATTATGACCAAATTTGAACTCATGCAAAAATGTAAACGCATCTCTTCTTTTTTCATTTTCAAGATAAGTGGTATATAATGGTTTGACTTGAATTCTGGAAAAGATTGCTATAAAATTAACGCATAGGACATTTTAATCATTAGGAATAAGTAACGTATTTTGTGCAACTATTATAATAATATAGAAGAAAGGTTTATTTGAAAATCGGACATCATTTTGCGGGTAACCTAAGGTAGATTCTGGAAAAAGATTCATATAAAATTAACAAAGATGTCACTTTAATCATTAGGAATGAGTGATATATTTTTGGGAAACTATTTTAATTACATATTAGAACACAAAAGCTTTATTCTAAAATCTGAAATTATTTTCGAACAACCTAATGATATATTTTAGAAAGGCGAACGGAAAATACTCACTAAAAAAACACACAACGCTAGGAAGAACAACATCATCGAGAAAATATTAAATTAACTTTAGGAACAAAAAATAGAATTATTGAATAAATTTCGCAGTGTCAAAACAGAAACAAAGAAAAAAGTCGACGAAGAAAAAAGTCTTTTAAAAAGTAAACATGACAAAACATTATAAAATTATTGCCGTCCTGGGTATGACGATAAACTACATCCGCGTCCTGGTTAAGACGATAAACTACATCCGCGTCCTGGTTAAGACGATAAACTACATCCGCGTCCTGAGTAAGACGATAAACTACATCAGCGTCTTGGTTAAGACGATAAACTACATCCACGTCCTGGGTAAGACGATAAACTACATCCGCGTCCTGGGTAAGACGATAAACTACATCTGCGTCATGGTTAAGACGATAAACTACACACGCGTCCTGCTTATGACGATAAACTACACACGCGTCCTGCTTATGACGATAACCTACATCCGCGTCTTGGTTAAGACGATAAACTACATCCGCGTCCTGGTTAAGACGATAAACTACACACGCGTCCTGCTTATGACGATAAACTACACACGCGTCCTGCTTATGACGATAAACTACATCCGCGTCTTGGTTAAGACGATAAACTACATCCGCGTCCTGGGTAAGACGATAAACCTAACACGCGTCCTGCTTATGACGATAAACTACACAAAA